ACAATGGGAGTCACCACAGCCCATTTTCCCAGAATCAGCAGCCTGAAGCATTGCATGTCCCTCAGCCCAGCCTCAGGAAAGGGGTGGCCTTGGGATCACCCAAACCTTCCCTGACCCATGAGGGGACTAAGGAGGGCACAAACAGCTCTGGGCCTGGCAGCGGGGTCCTTCTCCCCATGGGTGACACTGAAGCTTCTGCAGGGAGCAGAGCATGGCAGCTTTCCCAGGAAAGGATGTGAGTGACATCCTCTTCCAGTCCTGTGTGGAATTCCTGGTCCAGTCAGGACCAGACACGCACTGTCCCTCCAAAACCAACCTCCACCAGTCACCCTCACTCTCCCAGCAAGACCTAAGGGCACCAGGAGCCATGTCCTGCCTTTGGGTGTGGGACTGACCTGTGACACCTCGGGGCCTTTCCTCCTGCCAAACACCCACCCACGGGTCACACACGGATGTGCTGGATCACAGACCCCAAACCCCCCGTCCTACACCTGCACTGCCTCCCCACAGTGTCCATGCCTAGGACACCAAGAAAGGCACACAGTGGTGCCAGCCATGCCAGCTGTGTCAGCCACCCCATCCCTGCTCAGTGGGCCGAGGGAATCCAGCGTTGGAAAAAGGCAGAAGCCCCAAACCAGCGGGGAGCAGAACATCCCTCCATGGTCCCGGCCAGAGCCCCGTCCTCAGGGCACAGTACCAGAGGTGTCCATGATCCCACCGGGACGGGAGAGGGTGCCAGAGGCAGGGCTGGCCCAGGAGCTGGCCGGGGCAGGCAGGGGCGTGGAGCCCAGCCCGTGGGAGCACGGCCGCTCCCGGCTCCGCTCCCTGCCCACGCTGCCGTGTGGCAGGTGGGAGGTTTCCTCTGCATTGCAAATCCCTTCTCGTGTGAGTGCTGCAGTGCTGCTTGGAAGGAAAACAACCCCTCTGGAGTGAGCCCAGGGGTCCGGAGCAGCACCAGCACCTCCTCCTGCCCCAGGCAGGCCTTGGTTCCGTTCCCAGGGTGCCTGGCTTGGGAGATAAACCCAAAGCTTTCCTGGCAGGCAGCCTGGTGGGAGCAGCACCAGTCGTTCCCATTTCTCTGCGTTTGTCTCTGGCACAGACAGCCCCAGCTGAGCTCTCCCTCCAGACCGGGGAAGTGGGAGGAGGAGGAGAAGGCAGAGGGAAGAAGGCTCCCTGGTCTGCAGCAGCTGTCTGGAAGCAGGACAAGGGCTTTGGGAAGGGGGGAGCAGCCCTGGGAGCACGGGCCAGAACCAGGGGCTCTGGTCCATGGGGACACAGATCCAGGACTGGAGCATCCTGGACTGGGGCTGGGAGGGACCATTTTGGCATCTGCTGTTGGGCAAGCTGCTCACCTGTGCAGGGCAGGCCTGTGCTGAGGCCCCAGGAGCAGGGCTGCCCCTTCCCAGAGCTCTGATTCCATGCTGGAAGTGTCCACTGCCAATCCTAGCCTACTGATGCAGCCCCACACTGCCAGCCCCTGGCAGCTCGTTCCCCTCCCAGACTCATGGCACTGCTGGCTGGGAGATCTTTCCAGAACTCACAGGAAAACAACCGCCTCATCCACTGGTGCACGAGTCCCCCATTACCAGGGGTTTGGGGGCCACCCGAATGTTTGGCACAACTCTCCAGGAAGAGACTGGATTTGTGCTCCTCAGGGACTGGTGGATGGAGGAATCCAGGGACAGTGTCCTCAGGCCCTTTCCAGGGGACAAGTCTTCAGGGGATTCAGCCCAGGGCAGCAGCAATGTGGAGCCCAGATTCAGGAAATGCAGGGAAACCCCTCAGGAGGAGATCTGCCCCTAAAACCCACTGCTCCTCCTGCTCTGGGAACTGGGACACTGAGCAGAGGGGATGTAGGGATGGAGGGGTGCTGCCTCTCACAAGGGACAGAAAATTCCCAGCCCAGCCCACTCATTCCTAGTGGGAATGTTCATGCTGATGAGAACTGAGGAGGAGGAAGAATAAAACATCAAAGCCTAAAAACAAGGGACAGCAACCCCTGGTAGCAGAGCCATGTCTGGGTCAGGATCCTGGAGGAGGATTCCAGGTACCAAACCTTCTGGGAAGAAGCCAGGAGGGATGTGTGGGGTCAGGACCCACTTGCCTTCAGTGGAGTCTCTGGGTCTGGCTCTGCCCAATCTCCCCACCACAGCATCCCCCACCTCATCTTTCTGGATTCAGGAAGCTCTTTAGGACAAATCCATCCATTCATCCATCCATCATCCATCCATCCATCCATCTTCCATTCATCCATCCATCCATCCATCCATCCATCCATCCATCCATCCATCCAATCCATCCATCATCCATCCATCATCCATCCATCATCCATCCATCCATCCATCCATCCATCATCCATCCATCCATCCATCCATCCATCCATCCCTTCCTGCCTGTGTCCTCCAGCCACCCCTCTGTCCAGTTTTTCTCTTTCATCTCTACACAACTCAAATCCATCGCCTGTGTGGATCGCTGCTTATCCCAGAGAATCTCTGCTTATCCACTCCAGTGTGCCTGGGGGTTTCTCCCCAGGGCAGAAGCTGTGAGACTCCTGCTTTGGGTTCAGCCAGAAGATGGATCTGCAGTGCTTTGCTTGCACAGACACTGCTTTGACAGCATGGCCCAGGGCAGCAGACACCAACCCTTAACATCCATCCCTGGCCTTACCCAGTCTCCAGAGCAGGAAATGCCACCATTCCCACACAGGGGTATCCCAGGGGCATGGGCAGGGCAGGAGCCCATCCTATGCACACAGCCTTGGTCTGACCCTTGAGCAACATGAGCAAAGACATCTCCAGGGCTCTTGTCCTCTCTTGTCTCAGGTGGAGAGGGATTGGAGAGGGATCCCCACTCTCCTGGTCAGGAGCAACAGGAGAAGCTGAAAGGCATTGAGGAGAGAGGCTGGGGGGCACAGAGGAAGGGGACTGGGCACACACATGCTGGAGGCATATGTGGAGATTTTTTTCTCACCCTTTCCTTACAGGATAGAGAAGGGGGAACAAAATAAGGAAAAGAATAGCAAAATAAAGCAAACCAAACAACTCCAATTTCTCTCTTAATGAATAAATGAAATGCATCCCAAGAGGCAATTAAGTGCTTCGAACCAAACATGTGTCACATACATTAAAAAAAACAACCCCGAGAGAAATCCAGCAGCTGCAGTGAAGGGAAGGAGGCAGCTGATGACTGCTGGGGGGCAGGGAACTGGGGCTGCTGCTCCCACCATGGTGTTTGGGTCCTGCAGGGGAGGGGAGTGCCCCCAGGGGGTGTGGGGATCCCCCAATACCCAGGGGCATTCCCAGAGGTTTCTCCCACCCTAAGGACATCACTGCCCTGTGAACCTTTCACCTTTGTGCCCCATGGGGACTGGGATCATTTGCTCCCAGGTCTTCCTTCCCAAAGCCCAAAGCAAGTTTTGTCTCACACTCCCTCTTGGTGTCACCTTCAGGGAACACCCACACCGCCCTGAGCTCCTGTCCTTTGTCCCTGTCCCTGGTGCTGCCCAGAGCTTGGCTGTGGCCCAGCCTTCACCAGGCTGACACTGGTACCCTTTGCTGCTGGGAGGAGGAGGAAGGCTGAGGAAAGGCTTCCCTGCAGTACAGCGGGGCTGTGATTGGGTTGGACAGGACCTGAATCTTCACCCAGCACAGCAGCCACGCCATGGGTGCATGTCTGACCCCCATCCTCATGTCCAAATCTCCTTCACACGCCTGCCCCACTGCCAGGGCCTTGATGTTGGGAGAACCCTCCAGAATCCAGCCTGCAGAGAACCAGCAGCCTCTTCTTCCAGAACGGCCCAGAAGGCTACAAAGACCCCCTCTGATTTGCCCAAAGGGGGGCAAAGATATCAGCTTGGCTAAAACCCCCATGGATTTCCCCATGACACAACTCACAGCAGCAGCGAGGAAGTGCCGTGCTGGGAGGCCCTGAGCTCCCAGCTCTGAGCTCTTTGGGGAAGCTGTGTTTTACTGCTGGGTGGTGGCACAGCAGGACAGGGCACCCACAGCAGGGCAGGGCACCCACAGCAGGATAGGGCACCCACAGCAGCCCCTCCCACCGCTCCCACAGATGCTGCCAAGCTGTGAAGGACAAACCCCTGACACACTTTGGATGCTCACTGGGTTTGCTGCCCATCTTGTCCCCTTGGAAGGCAAATCCAGACTCTTTGAGTATTTGGGTCTGGCTGGGCTGATGGAGCTGGTATCACTTTCTGGGACACATCAGGAAATCTTTCCTGATGAGGGAAAGCCCATGGGATTTATTCCTCTGCAGCTCTGCTCTGTGTTCACCCTGCCTGCTGCTTCCAGAACACATCCCTTCCCCACCGACCAGCAGCTGCCACAGCGCTGCTCAAACCCAAAGCCCTGCCCTTTCCTGAGGAGCAACACAGGCTTCCAGTGGGCTGGCAAGTTCCTGCAGGACCTCCTTCTCTGGCTAGTCAGAGCACTCCTGCCTCTGCACCCTGCTCGTGCCCAGCCTGCCACAGCAGGCCCAGAGCTCAGGGAGCGCATCCCTGGCTGAGGGTGCAGAGCCAGGGCAAAGCACGGCACGGGCAGCCCCAGCGAGCCATGCTGGGCTCCGTGTCTGCTCCCCCCTGCCTCATGGCTGGGGCTCCCTGTGGGCTCTGCTCCCACTGCTCCTGGGCTCTGGCATTGCTCACAGCCCTCCCTGCCCCAGGGACACCTGTAACAGTGTCCTGCAGTGTGCACAGTACTGTCCTGCAGTGTGCACAGCACTGTCCTGCAGTGTGCACAGCACTGTCCTCCAGCCACCCTCTGTGCCCATGCTGGGACATTGCCAGCACCTCACAGCGGCTCAGCCCTGTCCCCTTAACAGCCCTGTGCCCCTGCGCTGCCAGCAGAGCCTCTGCTGCCACACTGGGCAGAGAGCAGCGCCCCACGAGAGGACACAATCCCCAGCATCCACAGCCTCCTTGTGCCCCTCACCCACAGAGCCCCCAGAGCCACCCCTGTCCCCAGAGTCCTGCCCGGAGCACTCACAGTCTGGGCGTGGCTCTCGCGGGTGGCACGGCTCTTGTGGGTGTCACGGCTCTCGTGGGTGTCACAGCTCTCGTGGGTGTCACAGCTCTCGTGGGTGGCACGGCTCTCACGGGTGGCACGGCTCTCGTGGGTGTCACAGCTCTCACGGGTGGCACGGCTCTCGTGGGTGTCACGGCTCTCGCGGGTGGCACGGCTCTCACGGGTGGCACGGCTGCTGCAGGACGCTGCCGTCATCCGCGGGGGCAGGGGGATGCTGGTGGCCCGTGTGCCGGCTGTGGGTGGTGGCAGCTCGGTGACCGCGCTCACTGGGGGCCTCAGGCTGAGGAGGGACAACACACACGTGAGCCCAGGGAGCTGGGGATGCACCCCAGTGTCCACCCTGGCTCAGAGCAGGGAATTGTTAAAGTTGGAAAAGGCCTTTTGGATGACCAAGGTCACCCAGCACTGCCACCATGTTCAGCACTAGCCCCTGTCCCCAGGTGCCACAGCCACACACCTCTTGAGCACTTCAGGGACGGTGATGCCATCACTGCCCTGGGCAGCTGTGCCGGCACCTCAGCACCCTTTCTATAGAGACATCTGCCCTAATACCCAAACCCAAACATCCCCTGGCACAGCTTGAGGCCATTTCCTCTCATCCTGTCCCTGTTCCCTGGGAGCACAGCCTGAACACCACCTGGCTGTCCCCTCCTGTCACAGGGAATTCTGCAGAGCCAGAAGGGTCCCCCTGAGCCTCCTTTGCTCCAGGCTGAGCCCCTCAGCTGCTCCTGGTGCTCCAGCCCAGTTCCCTTCTCTGGACATGCTCCAGCCCCTCAAGGTCTTTCTGGTTGTGAGGAGCCCAAAGCAACCTGTGGCTCCACAGAGCTGCTCTCAGCAGTTTAAGGAGAAATGGGGTTCAAGACTTGAGAAGAGCCAGAGATGGCACCAAGAAGGGCAGGGCACCTCCCCACTGCTCTCTGCCAGCCTGGCTGCTGCAGCAGTGACAGGCACATCTGTCCTCCCCATGCACTTCCCAAAGAGCAGCTTACACCCGGATCAGATTAGGGGAAGAAAACTGCATTGCAATAAATCCAGGGAGGGAACTGGCTGCTGGGGCTTTAATCTGAGAGGAGCCTTCAAGATAAGAGCATTAAGAGGGAATGAAGCAGCCTTGGTGCAGGGATGGTCCGGCTGGTCCCTTGTCTGGGATTTGGCAGAGGGAGACTGCCGTGCCATGCCCTGGCACCTGGGAGGGTGCCACACGTCCTGCCACACCTGAGCACTCTCCATGGCTGCAGGACAGGGCACAGCACAGAGCATCCACCTAACAGGAGCCTGGAACTCCCAGTGGGAAGGACAGCACTGTGCTCAGTGGGACACCTGGGCCAGGGTGGGGAATCTCCTACAGCCCCTCCTTCCATGAGGGGACCTGGCACCTCCCAGAGCCGAGTGCACCTCAGGGCCAGGCAGCCCCGACCTCCTCTCTGGGCACTCCCTCCCTGCAGCTGGGCCGGGAGGTGTCACAGGAGGCACAGCAGCCCTGGCAGGGCTCTGCTCCCCGCTCAGGGCCAGCCCCCCTGGGTGACCTCCAGCCCAGCCCGTGTCTGGGGATGGCACAGGAGCTGCTGCAGCAGGGCAGGAAGGAGCTGCTGCTCTCCAGCTCGCTCTCTGGGAGAGGCAGCCACCTTTCCTGCCTCGTGTCCCTGAAGAGGGAATCCCCACAGCAGCAGGGGGGGACAGGGAAGGGGAAGTGTCCACCTGCATCCCTAGGATGGCTGAGGGGAGCTGCCTGCTCCCACACCCCTGCAGGAGCCACCCGGGGTGGGCTCAGTGCTGAGAGCTCAGGGGAAGGCCCCTCCTGCCAGGGTGACCAGCTGGGCACCAGTAGGGGCTGGTGACAGGGACACAGTGGCTGGGGTGTCCTGCCTGTGCTCTGCCAGCTCAGCCAGAGATGGATGGAACTGGCCCTGCAGCCTGGTGTAAGTAATTGAGAGAAGAACATTTGTAAGGCAGGAGACAGCTGGATTAAAAAGGTGAAGCCCAAAAAGCAAATGAAAAGAGAATCACTGCTGATGGATGAGAAAGCAGAGCCCGATTCCAGCTTCTCCCTGGATGCACTGGTGAGCAGCAGCAAGGCAAGGTGAGCTGAGATCAAACCATGGCAAGAACCTGGGCAGCCATGGGGGCTTGGAATCACAGATAAATAAAGGTTGGAAAATCCCTCTAAGGACATTAAATCTAACCCTTAACCCAGCACTGCCGACGCCACCACTAACCCATGGCCCCAGGGGCCCCACCCACACATTTTTTGAACACTTCCCAGAGATGATGATGCCACCACTACCCTGGGCAGCTGTGCCAGTGCCTGAGCACCCTTTCCATGAAGAATTTCTCCCTGATATCCAATCTAAACCTACCCTAGTGCAACTTGAGGCCGTTTCCTCTCTTCCTGTCCCTGTTCCCTGAGAGAAGAGCCTGATTCCTACCCCACCCCCTGGCTGTCCCCTTCTGTCAGGGTGCTGTGGAGAGCCACAAGGTCCCCCCCGAGCCTCCTTTTCTCCAGGTTAAGACCACCCCCCAGCTCCCTCAGCCGCTCCTGGACCCTTCCCAGGCTCATCCCCTCCCCTGGCTGCAGAGGCTGTGCTTGTGCAGAAGTGCCCAGGTGCCAGTGCTGCCTCCCCAGAGGTGCCTCTTCCCTGCCCTGCCAGGCCTGCCCCTGCCCCGCAGAGCTCCCAAACATCTGCCCAGACATTACTGCAGCTTGCTTTGCTAATTGCTGCTGATCAGATGCTTCCTTGGCAAGGTGGGAAAGACATTTAGGTAGGAAAAAAGTAAATTGAGTTTGTGTAAGACAGAAGAATTCCTAACTGCTCCATCTGCACGATGGCCTGAGCAGGCACAGCCTCACCCAAAGCAGGGGCTGCTCCTCCAGGCAGCCTGGGCAGAGCCCTGGCACCGGTCCCATCCATGGTGGGGGAGAGCAGAGAAGCCAAGGTGAGCCCACCTGAGGAGGGTGTCAGAGCAGGATATCACAGCCCCCCCACCCCAACACCCCCTCTGTGACCCTCCCCCTGCCAGCCTCACCCTGGCTGTCACTGCAGCCCTCACAAGGCACAGAGTGCTCTGCTACCCTCTCTGCCCGGATGGGGCCACCACCAGCACACCTCCACACCCTCCCAGCACAGCCTAGGGACCATCTCTCCACACTGTTGCCTTTTCTTTCAGGATCCAGGCATCTCCAACAGGCTGCAATTCCTGTTCCCTCATCCTTGAACATCAACCAGAGCCTTCCATTCCAGAGCCTCCCAAACCATTCTCTGCCAGCTCTGAAACTCAGCTGGTCCTGCAGGTCACTGTCCTACTTGGTTTCCTTAAAACCCAGTTTGCTCCAGTGCCCTGGAGACCCCAGGTGCCCACAAGACCCCAAAGCATTCTCCAGGAGGTTTCTCAGACTGACAACCACAAGCAGACTGACTCGGAGGGCACTCTGGGGACAGTGGCACGAGGCTGTCCCCACACACTGTGAATGCCCCCACATGCTGCACATCATCAGCACCAGGACCTTCTCCAGCATGTCTAGTGAGCCCTACTTCTGCCTGCAGCTGGACATCACGGGGCATAGAGGGCAAGGCCTTTCCACAGAGATCCCAGAGAGCCAAGAGAAGGGCCAGGGATAGTGCCTGGCTCTCCCAAAGCCCTGGCTCGTGGCCCTTGATCCCATACAAGAGGACAAGGAGATGGAGCAGCCCAGGAGCCTCCATCTCCAGTGCTCAGGCTTGCAGCATCTGCCTGGAGAAAGGCCCTGGGCCATGCCCAGCACGATCTGGGCAGTGAGGTGCCCAAGCAGAGGGTGCCCCAGCCAGAGCAGATCTGCCAGGATCACCATGCCCAGCATCTCTGGAAGCGCCAACAATCCGGGTTGGAACATTGCAGGAGTCCAGTCAGCCAGCACAGCAGCACCAGCTGTGCCCAGCTTGGGGACACTGGGGTGGGTGTCTGAGCCCCCTCCAGGGCACACACAGCCCCTGCCCCGCTCTCAGGGCACTGGAGCCCCCTGGGCCTGAGTGCCCTTGGAGCCTGATAGAAATGTAAGCAGGAGAAGGGTCAGGGCACAACCAGCCCAGCATGCCAGGGCAGCTCCAGCCCCAGGGCAGGACGGCTCCAGACCGGGCACAGACAGAGTGGAGGTGGCACCACGCCAGGGAGCTGCTCTGCGGCCTCTGCCACTGCCGGGGACACTGCCACTGCCAGGGACACTGCCACTGCTGAGGGACACTGCCGGGGGACACTGCCACTGCTGGGGACACTGCCACTGCCAGGGACACTGCCAGGGGACACTGCCACTACCAGGGACACTGCCACTGCCGGGGACACTGCCAGGGACACTGCTACTGCTGAGGGACACTGCCACTGCTGAGGGACACTGCCACTGCCGGGGACACTGCCACTGCCAGGGACACTGCCACTGCTGAGGGACACTGCCACTGCCGGGGACACTGCCACTGCCGGGGACACTGCTACTGCTGAGGGACACTGCCACTGCCAGGGACACTGCCAGGGACACTGCCACTGCTGAGGGACACTGCCAGGGGACACTGCCACTACCAGGGACACTGCCACTGCCAGGGACACTGCCACTGCTGAGGGACACTGCCACTGCCGGGGACACTGCCAGGGACACTGCTACTGCTGAGGGACACTGCCACTACCAGGGACACTGCCACTGCCAGGGACACTGCCACTGCCGGGGACACTGCCACTGCTGGGGACACTGCCACTGCTGAGGGACACTGCCAGGGGACACTGCCACTGCTGGGGACACTGCCACTGCTGAGGGACACTGCCAGGGGACACTGCCAGGGACACTGCCACTGCCGGGGACACTGCTGGGGACACTGCCACTGCCGAGGACACTGCCACTGCTGAGGGACACTGCCAGGGACACTGCCACTGCTGGGGACACTGCCGGGGACACTGCCACTGCCGAGGACACTGCCACTGCTGAGGGACACTGCCACTGCCGGGGACACTGCCACTGCTGGGGACACTGCCACTGCCGAGGACACTGCCACTGCTGAGGGACACTGCCAGGGACACTGCCACTGCTGAGGGACACTGCTGGGGACACTGCCACTGCTGAGGACACTGCCACTGCTGAGGGACACTGCCACTGCCGGGGACACTGCCACTGCTGGGGACACTGCCGGGGACACTGCCAGGGACACTGCCACTGCTGGGGACACTGCCACTGCTGAGGGACACTGCCACTGCTGGGGACACTGCCACTGCCAGGGACACTGCCATCAGCACAGCACTGTAGTTGCTGAGGGATGCTGCCAT